AAGCTGTGGTCTTGATGTGTAGATCTCTGCAAGTATTAGTTTTTTTTTTCTTGTCAATTTAAAGCAGAAAGTGTCATTCTTTCTATGAATCTTGGAGTTTCATTCTCCTAAGTTGCAGTATGATTTGGAGTTTCATTCTCCTCAGTTGCAGTATGATTTGTGTTCATGGAGTGTCAGTCTCCTAAGTTGCAGTATGATTTGTGTTCATGGAGTGTCAGTCTCCTTATTTGGTATTTTTCGTAGAAGTATGAGATTTGTGTTGTGCTTTGGAGTGTCATTCTCCTTGGCTGAGTTGGTTTCTTGGAGTGTCATTCTCCTTGGTAGATTTAGTTTCTTGGAGTGTCATTCTCCGTGGTAGTTTAGTTTCTTGGGAGTGTCATTCTCCTTGGTAGATTTAGTTTCTTGGCAGTGTCAACTATGGCTTCTCAGTTCACAGTCGAAAAGTTGGGTATGTTCAGACCAAGACCATGTAGCACAGCTCCCTATTTGTGGTACCATTCAGTGTGTTGAATAATAAGAGTGCAAAGGTTAGACAGCAAGCTGCAGATCTTATTTCAAGAATTGTTGTTGTCATGAAGTAGTGCCAAGAGGAGGAACTGGTGGGTCATCTTGGTGTTGTCTTGTATAAGTATTTGGGAGAAGAGTATCCAGAAGCAACTAACAGTCCAATCAAAGCCTTTCCTGTATCTTCAGATTCACGGAGTTTCACATCAGGTGCGGTAACGAATGCTTCTGAGCATTTGGAAATTAAATCAGCCTATATCCAAGAAGATGACCAGTCGATCATCCCAGGCTATCTCAAATATCTGGCTAGTTCAAACTTCACTTGGATACTCCAAGTTTAGTTTGAGGGGGGAGTAATAACTGATATAACAGAAATATAGTTAGAGGGGTATTATTGTAATTAGGTTATATGGCTATATAAGGGATTGTTTAGCTATCATTTCTTTAAGTTCTTTTGTATACATTTTCTCCATTTTAATCAATACAATCTTTCTGGTTTTCTCTCTATCATCTTCATCTTCCTTTGTACAAATTCTCCATCTTTTACAATGTAGTTAATAGTTTCCACCACTTCTAGGCGTCGATTGGCTACGGATGGTGGTGCATAGTGACGGATTTCGGTTGACGGCGGTTGTGGTGCAGGCTACTTCGACTTGTTTTGTTTTTTGTCTAGGCCCAATTGTCTGTTTTGGGCTTTGTTTTGCTTGGGGGGCTCATTTCTTACTTTGTGCTTGACATATAATTGAGCCTCCTATTATGTATAGTTGTCGTGTTGGTAATGAATTTACCCTTGACCCAAAAAAAAAAAAAACAAGATAATTATTGATGGTCCGATAGAATGGTGGGAGGACTCAAATTAAAATTGATGATATTATCACTCTTCCCAGAAAAATTAGCAACCAAATCCAAGTAGAACTCTAAAGTTGACAATTACAAGAAGTTTCAACTACGTCTCTCCTAATTCCTAAAGTCCCAGGAGCATCAAAACCGGAATCGGTCTAAAAAAAACCATGGAGAGGCGTAGTATAAATAGCAAGGTTTTCGTTCTAACTTGAAATGACGGCAGTGCCCTTCATGGCGGACACAGCGGCAGTTACGATTTTTTTATTTTTATTATTCAATTCCACATAGGTACCGGTTCAAACCCTTGGACGGAGAACTCGTGGATTTCTACTTGATGAGAAAAATCACGAATCAATCGTTGCCTTAAAATATTATCCATGAAGTCGAACTATACAAATTCAGCCTTGACACACTAATAGGTCACTCCTAATTTGTATGCTAACTAGTTTCTGTTGTAATTCTAAATTAACGTATATGCGACAATTTGTATTTTTGTGTCGTTGTATTTGTTTCTGGGGTAAGTATATATTTGGTGAGAAAGAGATTAGAGTCCATCAAAAGAATGTTATTCTGGGTTTTCTTATTGATGATTCTAGAAAAATGGCCCGCATGTTGCTGCAGCTTCTGATTTCGTAATGCATTTTCAATTAGATTAATCTATAAATGTAGATCTTAGTTTAACCAACTTCTCACTTTCAGAATCGGAGGGACGCATCAAAGAAGACTTGCAAAAATAAAAATCTAAACTTATATCTTCACCCGAAGATGTAAATAAAAATCTAAACTTACATTCGTTTTTACATCTTTTGGGGATGAGTACCCACTAATGAAAGAAAGAAAATTAAATTGGACGTCAACTTTCCCAGCAGAGTAGAACTTTCACTTACATGTGCCAGAATGTAAAATAGGATGTAAATATGACTTTTGCATGTCAAATTTGCATTTACCATGAAGATCCCCATATAGACTTCTTCAAAATTCTAATTATATACACCTAAATTTCAATAACCTTGTTATTATATGGCCTACAACCATTATGATTGAATACCTCTAAATTTATATAAAAAAATAATTTAATTCAAAATCGCAATTAAATACAACCCTTGTCGAAATTTATTCATATTTTCAAAAACACAATACATTACTAACAAAAAATGACATCCATACAAACTATCAATCTCGCCAAAATGTTATTATATGGCCTACCAATACAAACTATCCCGACAAACTATAAATCAGTAAGAATGCATTATATATATGAAAAACTAATGAAAGGTCCCTATAAACTTTATGTTTAATCTTTAGTACAATTTTTTTTGAAAATACCAATCATACCCTTCAAACATTTAGACAAAAGTAGCCCAGCATTCAGCAGAGTTCACGTGCTCTTCATCATCAAAATAATACACAAGAGGACAAAGAAAATACAACCAAAAGAAGGAAAGGACAATTCAATCAAAAATAAATAAACCGACACTTTTAAATACAATGTCACCGACAATTTTCAAAAACAGTGCAAAGTTACTATTTAAAAAAGTTGTAAATAGTTGTTTGCTTTTTGAAAAGTTGTTTTTTCATTTAGGAAATTAATTTGTATATAAGGGAACTTTTCCTATCATGCAGAGGACACCCCTACACCATACCATACTTCAATCTGCAAACAATCAAGCATCTAAAGCCTTCCTAGCATCCTTTGTAAACACTTCTCTTTGTAGACATTTTATATATTAATAAAAGTTCAAGTATACAAATTCAAGCAATCTCCAAGTCTTAAGTAAGTTTTCTTTCTTTCTTTAGTGTGTTTGTTTAATTAGACTTCCAGTCCAAAATAGGGAAACACTATTGTAGTTATATTATTAATGTGTTAAACTGACAATCATACTTTGTTTGAGTACTTTGTTATAGTTGAATGCTTGACATAAAAATAATTAGATATTAACCAAGGTACGTCTGAGTTCAGCCTTTATAGCCTTATACCTACATTGTGAGTGGCCGTCATGCTGAAACATGTCGAGTTCCATGTGCAAGGTTGTATGTCTAGTTGTAGTCAAGATAATTATTATTCAGAAAACTTAAAAGAAAATGATAAGCATAATAATATAAGAATTTGATGAAGAAATATTTGAACATGATTATCCAGTCTTAGAAGAAGGAAATTGTATAGAAATATTACAATTGAATAGACCAAAAAGCTTAGAAGAATTGTTGCAATTAACAAAACAAACAAAAATCATAGGAGAAGACCCATAGTTATATTGGAGTAAAAATAAAATCTTAGCAAAATTAGATATTATTATTACAGATTTAACTATTAAGATAGCTGATATGTCTTGTAGGTTATTATAAAGCAAGAGTTTGAGCAACAAATAAAAGAGTTGTTAAATTTAAAAGTAATTAAACCCTTTAAGTCTAGACATAGATCATTAGCATTCATAGTGAGAAAACATTCCAAGCTAAAGAGAGGTAAGGCCAGAATAGTTTATAATTATAAGAGATAAAATGATAATACATATGAAGATAGTTATAAGTTACCAAATAATGAGTTTACAAATAAAATACAAGAGATTGAATATTTTGGTAAATCTAATTGCAAATTAGGATTTTGGCAAATAAGATTAGTAGAAGAATCAATTGAGTGGATAGCTTTTACTTGTCCAGATGCACATTTTGATTGGCTTGTTATGCCATTTGGACTTTAAAATGCTCCATCAATTTTTCAAAGAAAGATGTATCAAATTTTTAAGAAATATGATAATTTTTGTAGTGTTTATGTAGATGATATTTTAGTGCATAGTAAAAATAGAAATGAACATATGAAACACTTAGAGATAGTTTTACAAGAATTTATCAATAATGGAATTGTGATTAGGAAAATAAAATAACATTAGAAAATCAAGATATGGAATTTTTAGGAATATATAATAAGTGAGGTACAATACAATTACAAGATCATATAGCCAAGAAAATTTTAGAATTTCCAGATAAATTGGAAGATAAAAAAATAGTTACAACCATTTTAGGATTGTTAAACGATGCTAGAAATTTTTTACCTGATTTAGGAAGAAAAATAGTAGTATTACATAGTAAAACTAGCAAAACAAGACAAAAGTATTTTAATAGTGAGGATATTAAATTAGTTCAAAAAATAAAAGAAGAAATTACTAAACTTAAACCATTAGCATTACCATTAGATGATAGTTATAAGATAGTTGAAACAGATGCATCATCATTAGGATGGGAATGAATACTATCAGAAAAAGCATAAGGAGTCACTAGAGTCTGATGAACAAGTTTGTAGATATTTATCAGGAAAATTTAGTGATGTGTAGTTAAGACTCAAGATTACTAGCGACAGATTTAGCAATTCTAGGAATAATTAACTCAGTTGAAGCATTTTCTTTATTTTTACATTATTTACAATAAGAATAGATTGTCAAAATATAGTTTCTCATTATAATAAGATATATACTAATAAACAAGCAGCCGGAAGATGGGTCAATTTTATTAATTCAATTACAAAAAATGATTTTAAACCAATTTTTGAACATATTAAAGGTAGTGATAATACATTAGCTGATTATCTTATCAAGACTAATTCATTGAACATGAATGAAATATCGTGGACCATCATCCTCAAATAGCACAAGATCACAAGGCAGAAAAGCACATTTCAATAACATAATGATGCATCATGGACCTCCACTATTCAGTCGATTTCAAAATAGGATAAACAGACCAGCATCACCACCAATACCCACCTTTAACTTTAATGGCACCATAGTTGAAGGAATCTAAAATTCAACTTTGAGGTATAGGTCAATGGTACCATGAATCATTGATAAGCAACAAGTTCTCTTAGATAACTTTTGGAATGTTCAAATAAAACAGCTGAGCATGAGGTTAGGTCATGAAAATTAATTAGAGCCTTAGAACAAGAATTTGATAGGTTTAATTTAATTTTCATCAAAGCCAACATCATATTCATTCTCTTGAACACAGCCTCCAAGCCATTTCTAAAGACCATGAGTCATTGCTTAACCAATTCACCAAAATGAACCAAGAACTCCAATCCCTTAGAATGCAGCAAAAGGCAAGTAAGACCCTGAAATGAGAACTGGAAATAGGCATAGAAACTAATCAGCATAAGAATAAAGAAAAAAATGTTATTGAACCCATAGAACAAGAGACTTATGAGCCCATATAAGAAAGAGAGATTAAGATTGAGCTCTTAGAAGAAGATATTGAAATGGAGTAACATCAGCATCTGAGTGACAAAGAAAAACAAGAAAGATAAGAAAGATTTCTTAGGAATATATTGTTAGACTTAATAATAGATGATATTTTTGAGAAGAAATTTCAAAAGCAAAATTAAGAATAATGCCACCAGATATGCAAAATGAAATCTTGAGCAGAGCATTACAGTCCATGAAAAAAATTACAATTACAATGTGCTTTGTATCAGTCCATCTTTGATCCAAAACCAGGGATGAATTTTATTAGAAGCATGTATCCACCATGTCTTTATGGTAGTACAGAGAGTTGCATTTGTAAACCAGAGGTTAGCATAGCTGTGACCATGATTAACATGAGAGATTTTAGACCATGACATTTTAATTATGAGCATCAAAAGAAGCATAATGTAGTAGAAGTTACCCTAGCCTTACTATTAGAGTTTGACTATCTTGATAAAATATTCATTAACCATATTTCTCAATTAGAATCATTTCTTGAAAAGCTTATAAAAGTAGCATAATGTTATTTAGAAGAGTGAAAAGAAATTTGCATAAGTTTTATTAGTATTTCTCCAGATTGGTATGTACATATGCATAAGGAGAAAGCTAGGCAAATAGCCATGACTAATGAAGAGTCTTTCAGACTATCCTTTATCTCCCCATACAAATATTAGCCTTATATGAGTTTGAAGATTTTAGGTATGATATGATATTAGTAGTAGAAGAAGAAGAAATGTATATTTATAGTAAGACAAAAATCAATCATCAGCCATACTGGAAGCCTCAAAATTTCAAAGGAGAAACAGCAAATATGTGTTACAAGGTAAAAGAAGATAGACAAAGAGAAGCAGGGCTAGTAGGAAGAGATGAACAGTACTGGAACAATTTGACAGAAGAGGAGCTGCACAATATCGACAACATGATGGAAACCTAAAGAGTAGAAGAGCTGGCAGCACATTAGGAAACGATGTAAAGTAGCATAAGTTGAATATCATTATGCAAAATAATGTACTTTAACTAGACAAAAATGTCAACATCATTGTGGAGCTCACTATAATAATAATAATAATATAATGACATAAGATTAAATAAAGAAAAGAGTTTCGCCCATTAAGGGCTTTTCATACTGAAAATGTCCTTAAAATTAAAAGTGAACAGTTCTAGAAATATTTCATTAAAATTGTTATATATATATATATGTAAGCCATCAATCAATAAGATAAACTCTCTCCTTTACAGGTTCTACCCAACCCTAAACCAATGCTACCCAATTTACAAGTCCTACCCTACCCTAAACCAATGCTACCCAATTTACAAGTCCTACTCAACCCTTAACAAATGCTACCCAACTTACAGGTTCTACTCAACCTTAAACTCTTTATTTGTGTTTGCACATTATTTTGGATTTGCAGGTTCTATTCTAGAATCTTTATGATGTTGATCTCTACCAAAAATGAAAAATAAATAAATAAATGTTTGAGCTCGAGAGGTTGTAAATGTTGGGTTTTGCGTCTCAAAATTAGATATGTGTTACCTATTTTGTTTTAGTGTTCTATTTGGGTTTGAATTTTGACATTTTCGTTGGTTTCCTTGCTTGGTGGAGAGATTTTGTGCGATGGCAAGTGCCTTCGCCCATGAGCGGTAGGTCTCGGGTTCGAGACTTGAGAGCAGCCTCTCCATAAATGGAGGTAAGGCTAGCCGACATTCACCTCTCCCATACCCTGTGTAAAGCGAGAGCCTTGTGCACTGGGTACGACCTATTTGATTAGGATTTGGATTCACTTCCTATGGGATTCCTATGTAAACCTAAGTCCTATGCTCTATAAATAAGACATTAGGATTGGTTTATTTTGTATGGCTCATTCGTGGGGCAATTCAGTGATAGTCAATTTGTGAGTTAGAAAGCAATTTAAGAGAATCTTCTCCGTTAGTTTTAAGGTTCTGTACTCGTTTGATTTAGAGTTTGTAATTTGTGGGATTTGGATTATAAGAGTTTAAACACTATTTTGTTATCTTCTTCATTTGTTTAGTGAAATCCCTCTTCGTGCTTCGCCCATGGACGTATATGTTGAACCACATTAAATCCCTTGTGTTCTTATTTTTGAGATTGTTTTTAATGAGCTTTCGCTTATGACATCGGTATTTGGTAATGTGTTAGAATTCATTTCCATTTGCGCATAAAAGTATAACAAGTGGTATTAAAGCCCAAGTTTTGGCTTAGGCTTTGCTTGCCAGTCACTATGAAGACGTCGATGAAAGTTGATGTTGAAAAGTACAATGGGAATGACTTTGATATTTGGCAATTGAAGATGCATGCTTTTTTAGTTCAACAATGGCTTTTGAAAATGCTAAAGGTTGTGAAGGCTTTGCCAAATTCGTGGACTGATGAGGAAAATGAAGACATAATGGAGCGGGTACTTGGAGCAATCATGCTAACTTTATCTAATGAAGTCTTGTGTGAAGTTGGTAATGTCAAATCTGCACCGAAATTGTGGCTCAAATTGGGGAGCTTGTATATGACCAACTCCCTTGCTAAACGGTTGTAGTGAAGAAAAGTTTGCATACTCTTCATAATAAGTCCTTTACTAGTGTTGAGGCAAATATTGCAGAAGATTGTTGTTCTAGACTCCTTTAAAGGTTATTTAAGGAGGTGGAGCTTGGTACTCAAGCTCTTTTGGTGGAGTGCAATTCACACTGTTGGTTCATTTGTTCAAGCTTTTGTTTGGATTTGCATCATATGTTAGTTTCCGTAATGGAATTTGTTGGAGAAGGCATTGGAGGAAATTTCAAGCTTGAAGACTTTTGGATTTTCTGAGTCTAGGTGGACATCTATTCTTGAAGAATTTGGTGATCACTTTTGGTATCCCAATTTGAAGTTTATTTTTTAGAAGTTCATTAATTTCTCGCCAAAGTGGAGATTGTTGGGTTTTGTGTCTCGAAATTAGGTATGTGTTACCTATTTTGTTTTAGTGTCCTATTTGGGTTTGGATTTTGACTTCTTGGTTGGTTTCCTTACTTGGTGGAGAGATTTTGTTAATTACCTACATGATTAGGATTTGGGTTCACTTCCTATTAGGATTCCTATGTAAACCTAAGTCCTATGCTCTATAAATAGGACATTAGGATTTGTTTATTTTGTGTTGCTCTTCGTGTGGTAATTTGGTGAGAGTTAATTTGTGAGTTAGACAACAATTTGGGAGAATCTTCTCTGTTAGTTTTGAGTTCTTTGTTCGTTTGGTTTAGAGTTTGTAATTTGTGGGATTTGGATTGTAAGAGTTTAAACACTCTTTTGTTATCTCCATTTGTTTAGTGAAATTCTTTCCCGTGCTTCACCCGTGGACGTAAGCTTTACGCTAAACCATGTTAAGTCCCTTGTGTTCTTATTTTTGAGATTGTTTTTAACTTTCGCATATGACATTGGTATTTAGTACTTTATTAGAATTCGCTTATGTTTGTGCATAAAAGTACAACAGTAAATTGGTTCGATACAATTCATGTTTTTGCAAACAAAAATATACCTGCCAACTCAGCCATCTAACCATATCAAGCAAACAAAAAAAAAAAATAACTACATTCAAGAAAACAATGAGCAAGATAACAGATTTAGCCAAAAACTAACATCAACTTTTTGCAACCAAACTGAGGGATCCCAGCAAAAAACAATGGTCTTTGAAGTAGGAAATTAAACTCACCAGCCAACATAAGTCTATAACACTAATCCTGAAACACCTTTACTTCTTAAAGCTTCAATCACGACCTTTGCATGTTCGATTGCTCTGTAAAAAATTAGAGAGAATAAGAGTTTGTATTCGAACACAGTAAAGAGAATTCAAAACATAGACTCTGTAAACCTCACAAACCCTAGAATTCTTGCTGACCACAATTATAATTCAAATATGAAGGTCCATGAAATAAATAGAGCTTGTAAATCTAACCCTAAAGCACAAAAGATTTGAAAACGACTTCTTACCTTTTCAATCAGTAGAGGCAGGCATGGGCTTCAAATCTCAGTCACTCTTTACAAGCATGGCCTTCGTCTTCAATTTTCGGCCTTCCTGTCTCTGCGCGTGCTCTCTCTCTCTCTCCCTTCTGTGTCCTTCTATCTGGCAAGCACTTTCTCCCTCTTTCTCCCTCGCTCTCTCTATCCTTGAAGTTGTGCAAGGCCATACCATCAAATGACCATTGTTCGACATACTCTTACCCTCAGTAACACCACCACAATCCTCACCCACTCATTCAATCCCATCGAACCCAGAAACACCCCCCCCCCGCAATTGTTGAATGACATGTCATTTTCCAATCTGTCAGTTGGATTTGGGATGTAGAGAGGGCAAAACAACATTCGACCTTTCAAGGCTGCTTTTCAATAGGTTGTGTCAGCCCAAACAAAATGCCCAACCAGGCTGAAGCAAAGCCCAGACACACACAATGGCTCAATTGTTATTAACTCAAAATTGAATTCCACTTTCATAGGCAAGATGAATAGTGCATTTTTTCCTTACTTTAGACTTAAGTAATTTTCTAACTATTTATCTGGATGAAGTAGTTACTTACCCATACTTCTTTTTTAACATGTAAAATTACTTTTTTCCTTTTTAAGAGAACAAGGAGTTGGGTTAAGCTCCAAGGCATTTAAACCTATATGTCCTTATACTCTTAAACATTTTGGTTTGCTTAACCTAAAGTAAACAAGGGAGTTTTAATACAATCGATGTTTCTATTCCAAACTACTCTAAAGGGAGGGGTGAGGGTTTGATTGTAAAATGCAGATGCCTAACCACCAACAATCCATCATTTGCTAAACTTCACTGTTATTCACTCTTTTTTAATATAGTGGTAGGGTTTATTTAAATGTGAAGTACAGGTGGATTTGGTACAAGTAATATTCTCTGTGTCTCTCTTGTTTGACATTGAATAATCAGACGAGTTTAATGGTTGATTTTCCATTTGTAATGTTTGTATATTTTGTTGACAATGCGCAGAAAAATACAAGTGTGATGGAGAAGATATGATACTTTTTCACACCCAGGGACAAAAAGTAGAGCAGGTGACGGTTATTAGAAAGCTACTGGGTCTGAAAAGAAGTGACATTTGATAATGTTAAAGTAGGTTGTAAGAGAACGCTATAATATTCTACCAAGGAAAGCCGCCCAAGGGTGAAAAGACTGAATGGAAGATGCATTAATTTAGAGTGGATGATCCTTCTAGGTAGGCCTGGCAAACGGATCGTGTTTGTCGTGTTCGTGTCATTTTTGTGTAACACCTGTTATCTTAACGGGTCGTGTCGTGTCACACCTATTATCTTAACGGGTCCTTAACAGGTCGGGTCACTTTACCCAACGGGTAAAGTGACCCGACTCGTTATGACCCGTTAAGAAAAATATATTTTTTTCTTAAATTTGCACATACCACACATTACCACATAAATATTATTTCAAAACATTAAAACATATTTGTCATTTAAGTACTACATCTACGCTCGAAAATAGGAGCCTAATAAAAAACAAGTTTGACGGTTGGATCATTAAAATTAGTTTCATAGAATTCGTATCCCATCAAAACGATAGATTCACTAACACTTAGAATTTATTTATACTTTCATTAAGTATAACATAAGATTTTGTGGTTTCCACTTGTGTAAATATTTTAAATTGACGATCAAATTCATTCATTGTATTCATATAGGGTCAAGAAGTGTAGTTGTAAAAAGTCATCAAAATCGGAGTTAAAATAACCATTAAATCGTGATTTTTGTTTTATAAACGTCGAAAAGTTTTGTCTCATTTCTTGATCTCTGAATGTTTGTTTTTTGTGATTTTTGGCGTATGCGATCTCGAAGCATATACAAACAAGTTTGACGGTTGGATCGTTAAAATTAGTTTCATAGAATTCGTATCCCATCAAAACGATAGATTCACTAACACTTAGAGTTTATTTATACTTCTATTAAGTATAACATAAGATTTTGTGGTATCCACTTGTGTAAATATTTTAAATTGACGATCAATGACAAAGCATTTTGGAAAAGTAGTAGTGCTATTCCTTTACCCTTCTTGGTCATAGCAATGTAGTGGGAGCTGCAAGCTTCACGTGTTTGAACTTTGTCAGAGCATTTTGAAAAAGTGGTATGTGGTATCTGGAAAGCTGATGTTGCGTGTGAAGATTGCAGACAAACTTTATCCAAGGAAATCTGGCTCCCAAAGTTCGAAGAGCGATGCCTCTTCGGTTTTTGAACAAGCAATCATGTCGGGGATTTGGCTCTCGAGATTCGGAGAGCGGTACCTCTTCGATTTTTTAGAAAGCAATCTTGTTGGGAGTCTGGCTCTTGAGATTCGGAGAGCGGTGCCTCTTCAATTTTTGAGAAAGTAATCCTGTTGCGAGTCTGGCTCTCGAGATTCGGAAGGCGATGCCTCTTCGATTTTTGAGCAAGTAATAATGCTATTCCTTTACCCTTCTTGGTCATAGCAATGTAATGGGAGCTGCAAGCTTCACATGTTTTAACTTTGTCAGAGCACTTTGAAAAAATGGTCTGTGGTATCTGGAAAGCTGATGTTGTTTGTGAAGATTGCAGACAAGCTTTATCCAAGGAAATCTGGCTCTCGAAGTTCGGAGAGCGGTGCCTCTTCAGTTTTCGAACAAGCAATTATGTCTGGGATCTGACTTTCGAGATTCAGAGAACGGTGCATCTTCAATTTTTGAGAAAGCAATCCTGTTGGGAGTCTGACTTTTGAGATTCAGAGAACAGTGTCTCTTCGATTTTTGAGAAAGTAATCCTATTGGGAGTCTGGCTCTCAAGATTTCGAGAGTGGTTCCTCTTCGATTTTTGAGCAAGCAATCATGTTGGGAGTGTTTTCTTGAATGTGAGTAAAGGTTGGGCATTTTTGCCAGTCTGCCTTGCCACGGAGCACGGAGGTTGACACACATTGGGACTTTCTAGTTATCAAGCAGTGGTGCTGTTCCTTTACCCTTATGGGTAATAGTAGGGTAGCTGGACCTTCAAAATTTATGTGTCTAAACTTTGTCAGAGATCTTTGGCAAAGTTATCTGTGGTACCCGAGGAGCTGATGTTGCGTGTGGAAAGTGGTGCCTCTTCGACATTCGGAGAGTGGTGCCTTTTCGGAATTCGGAGAGTGGTGCCTCTTCGATTTTTTGAACCAACAACCCTATTGCCCTTTCTTTTATAAGGGCATCAATTGTGTGCAAGGAGTACATTCAGAGAGTTATTGCTTGTAGGAATGTTCCCCTTACTTCAGAGATTTATTGCACCTCATTTCTCCTTCATCATTTCTGAGAATGTCTGGCCCATCCGACCGTCATTTTGACTTGAACTTTGGTGAATAGGCAGCCATGCCTTCTCAAGACAACATATGGCGCCCATCCTTCTTATCCTCTACTGGTCCTCTTACCGTTGGGGACTCTGTGATGAAGAATGATATGACCACTGCGGTGGTGGCCAGGAACCTTCTCAATCCCAAAGATAACAAACTACTTTCCAAACGGTCTGATGAGTTGGCTGTTAAGGATTCTCTGGCTCTCAGTGTTCAGTGTGCAGGTTCTGTGTCTAATATGGCCCAACGCCTATTTGCTCGAACACGCCAAGTTGAATCATTGGTGGCTGAAGTGATAAATCTCAAACAGGAGATCAGAGGGCTCAAGCATGAGAATAAACAGTTGCACAGGCTCGCACATGACTATGCTACAAACATGAAGAGGAAGCTCGACCAGCTGTAGGAATCTGATGGTCAGATTTTACTTGATCATCAGAGGTTTGTGGGTTTGTTCCAAAGGCATTTATTGCCTTCGTCTTCTAGGGCTGTATCGCGTAATGAAGCTCCAAATGATCAACCTTCGGTGCCTCCTCCTTCTGGGGTTCTGCCTAGTACTGAGGCTCCGAATAATCACCTTTTGGTGCCTCCTCTTTCTGAGGTTTTGCCGACTGCTGAGACTTCTCCTAAGCAACCTTTGTGAAAGCTCCCTCTTGTTTGTTTATTTTGATTCATGTATATGTACATATTTGTAACTTATCGGAGATATCAATAAACAAGCTTTGCTTCATTTCAACGTATTGTGTTAAATACACCAAGGCCTTCTTCACTAAGTTTTTTGAATTTTTCCTTTTGTTGAAGTTTATATGTTGAAGCTTTGTGAGTGAAGCATGTAGGTTGAGGTAGTGCTCCCTTAATTTCCCGAGTGAGGTAAACTTCTCGTTTGGAGACTTGAAAAATCCAAGTCACTGAATGGTCGTGAGACTTCCGAGTATCAAGGTGCAGTAGCATATGGTTGGAGTCCCCCAAGTCTCCGGTCGAGGGAGTTGACAAATGAGGCATTTCCTTTTTAAGTGGTAGCCCAATACTCCTTCTTCATATATATTTGTTATGAAAGTTGTTAGGCCCAAAGAAGATGAGGCCTAGGCAATTTTTTTTTTCAATTTTTTTTAGGCAATTTTCGAATTTTTGAATTTTTGAATTTTTGAATTTTTGAATTTTCGAATTTTTGAATTTCCGAATTTTTGAATTTTCGAGGTTGAAGCTTTAGTGTTGAAGCTTTGAGGTTGAAGCTTTGTTGGGCACCATGAATTGATTATGTTTCACACTATCTTGATCAAGATAATGTGAAGCTTTTGTAGGTGAAGCTTTTGTGTTGAAGCTTTTGTGGGTGAAGATTTTGTGGGTGAAGCTTTTGTGTGTCAAGCTTTTGTGGATGAAGCTTTTGTGGGTCAGGCTTTTGTGGGTGAAGCTTTTGTAGGTCAAGCTTTTGTGGGTGAAGCTTTTGTGGGTGAAGCTTTTGTGGGTCAAGCTTTTGTGCTAAAGCTTTTGTGTTGAAACTTTGTAGGTGAAGCTTTGGAGTTGAAGCTTTTGTTGGGTACCATGAATTGATTTTGCTTCACACTATCTTGATCAAGATAGTGTGAAGCTTTTGAGAATTTGTAGTTGTCCTCCATTGATGAAGCTTTGTTGAATTTCCCATTTTTTTTTTTTGGGAAACTAGAAATTTGAAAATGTGGGAGAGACAACATATACAAATTTTGCTTCCACACTGTTGAGCAAGAGATTGTGATGCAAGCCACACCTTGTAGTAGTCGAAGGTTTGGATGAACCATATAAATTGAATTTGCTTCGAAGGTCTGAGAATTGTAGTTGCCTTTCATTGATGAAGCTTTTGTTGGCACCATAAATTGGTTTTGCTTCACACTGTCTTGATCAAGAGTGTGTGAAGCTTTTGAGAATTATGGTTGCCCTCCATTGATGAAGCTCTTGTTG